CTAGCATTCTCATAATCGCAAACTTGAACCAAACATACCAAGCTTGGAAAATTGCTCAAAAGGACCCAAAACCCAAAAACCTCTATCTAAAAAACAAAACTGAAATTTCTGTCTCCTCTTTATTTTCTTCTTTTCTCTCGTCTCTGTCTTCTTCTTCTCTCTCACCTCTGTCTTCTTCTTTTTCTCATTTTGTCTTCTTCTTCTTCTTCTTCTCCTCTCTTTTCTCCTACTTCTTCCCCATTTCATCTCTTATTCCACTATGGTTTGAGCACCAACAACCCAAAAAGATGAAATGTTGAAGAAAAACGTGGTCCAAATTGAAGGCCAAAACGAGCATTTCTGGAATCAATTGTCAAACAAGCTACCTTTTCTTAAAATTTTGTAATTATCCTCCGTTTGTTACGCATGCCAATAGGATTGGTTAGAGATCTCCTCAGCTTTATGAAATTTTCGTTCTTCATTATTTATATCTCTATTCTAACAAAAAGATTCCACATGCAATATAACTGCACTACTAATTTACAAGATTTTGATTTAAGATACTGAACTTCCAAATAATTACAAAGAAAATGCAGAGGGTAAAAATAAATTCTTACCTCACCACTTATTAATAAAGGATTTCTTCCTTCGTCAATAAGAACTGAGTCAACTTCATCAACTATAGCAAAATGGAACGGTTTTGGCCTGTCATTTACATAATAATGTCACTGGCAGGGCACCAATGCTATGGCAATCAAGTTCAAGTTGCGTCATAAGCATACCATCTCATCACGAGCTGTTCCTCATTTCCAGCTAGATTGTCTCGTAGATAATCAAAGCCAAGTTCCTGAAAAACACCCCAGATTTATGCTATGTCAGGAAGGGAGAGGCGGTATGATTCCCTCAGATTTACGCTATGTCATTAAGGAGAAAATAACATGGAATGGTTCCTCAGACTATATGGGTGTTGGATGAAGGATGTACATTAATTATAATCATTTAGGTTCGTACAAGAGCAAAAACACTGCCAATCAACCAGCACTTCTAGCCTCAGTATTATCAACTAAGCAATGGTAAGAGTGCAGCAGGATGCAACAAACAAATAACGAAAATATGACTTACTGAGTTATTCGTGTAAGTGATATCACAACTATAGTTGGATCTCCTCTCTTCAGCCTTCATCCCCCTCTGTTTATTGAATTAAAAAGAAATCAAATGAAGTGAAAACTTGAAATACATCAATGAAATCATCGTTTCCTCCAAAAAAATATATATAAACAATAGAAACGTTATGGATTGAGGAGGAAGATTTTGTCCTCTATCATTGATAACTATAACAAAATATCTTGTAAACATGTAAAGTACGGACAACAAGCAAACTGCTAATCACCTGTATCAAACCCACTGATAAACCTAAGAAGCGATGAACACGACCCATCCATTCAGCATCACGTTGAGCCAGATAGTCATTCACAGTTACAACTAGAAAAATGAGATATTATTAGAGTTTGACCAAAAAAATAACAGATGAACACACAAAGACCCCGTACACTTCCTTTCAAATTCAAAGGGTGTGCCACTTGTAAGCTAAAACAAAACCAACCATACAGACTAGGAATTAATAAAATGAAAGTAACTCAGGACAGGTACCTTTAACAAAATGCGCTAGAACAATTTATGCTCTAAATGTCTGGTAACACAAATAGAATGATTCAAGATTTACCAGAACAGGATCACCAAGTGAGGACTATAAGATCATACTTCATCTCAACAAACATGATTTCACCTAAATAATAAGGTAGTACGAGTAACAATCTTATGATTTAGATGTATACAAATTGACAAGAACCTCTTTTTCCTTTCTTCCTCTCTTTATTAAATAACATTTGTTGACATATTATCATATCCGATTACTACAGGATGACTTCAATTAATTCGCTACAAGCCATGATAATATCACACGCAAAAGTACAATTTGAAGTCCTACCATGAACACCTTCGCCCGTCAAGGCATTGAGATATGCTGCCAATGTAGAAACCAGCGTTTTCCCTTCACCAGTCTTCATTTCCGCTATGGAACCATCATGAAGCACTGCTCCACCAATAATCTGTGGTAAATATAAAAAAACCCACACTGATCACCATAGTAACCACCACCATTTCAAGCCGGAAAAAAATAAAAAATAAAAAATAAAAAATCTAACTCCAAATTACATGAACTAAAGATGATGAGAACGGAAGGAAACGGATACCTGTACATCAAAGTGGCGCATTCCAAGCTTCCTTTTTGCAGCTTCACGGACTACCGCAAATGCCTCTGAAAGGATTGTAAGTAGAAGAATTAATAAACAAGCAAGTGAAACTGGAGTATAAGCTTCGAAATTCAGGTAGATGAAAATAGAATGCCTTAACCAGCTTGAATGTCTGCCAAAGTCTCTCCCTGTTCAAGCCTTCTCCGGAACTCCGAAGTCTTTGCAGTGAGCTGGATATTGAAAAATTCAGTTGATTTCATTTTTTGGGCCGTAGAGTTACATGGATATCAAAAGCAATTACAGCCAAGAGATGACAAGTTAATTCAATGAACCTGCTCATCAGCAAGGCTCTGCATCTGCGGCTCAAATTCATTAACGGAGTTAACAAGACGATAGTAATCTCGAACAACCCAATAATTCATGCTCGTTAAATCACTCCAAGTCTTTCCAACAGACCCCAAAGTCTCCTGAACCAACAATAGAAATACACAGAGTGAAGATTCAAACAGAAGGATTGCAGCCAGGAAAAGACGGCGAAACAAGTAAGTTTTAAAGAACACAAACTTTCAATGACGCGACAACGGGAGAGGCAGTGGCCGTCGATGAGGAAGTGACAATTGAACGGTGTCGCCGGAGAGGGTAGGGAAAAGATGCCAACGTTTGGAAAGAAATGGGACTGACAAAGCCAATGGTGGGCCGCAGAGACGGCAGCAAGGAAGGGGGCTTCGGAAAAGCATGAGTGGTAGCCATGCAGGTTTATCCAGGGTTCTTGCCGGTGCACCCCTTCGACAGAACCGATTAGAGTATTGCTCGGTCACCCAGAGCCTCAACGGAGCAGCTGTATTTTCGCTGTCCGTATGGAAGTGAACGCCGTTGGTTTGTGCCAAGTAAGTGATTTTTTTGCTAAGATAACTGATGCTGGATTTTATTTTGGGCGTTTTAACAACGAACGGGCCCAAACTCAACTGTAAATGAGAAGTTGGGCCCATATTTATTTTGGGCCCAAACTTCATTGTAGTTGAGAAGTTGGGCCCATATTTATTTTGGGCCCAAATTCAAACCTTATGGATTAAAAGCAACACTTATTTTTTAACTACTTTCTTTTCTTTTTTTTTTAATATTTTAAAAAAGTATATAGAAATTTAAAGAAACACATGAACGTTGTGTTATTTGCAAATCTCCATATAAATAGTTTGATTTTTTTGTTTGCAAATATACCAAAAAAATAAATAAATAAAAATAAAAAAAATGTTTAGTTTGCGATTTTGACTAGAGACCCTTCTCACATACTAAGATAAACCATCATATGATCCATAACTTAAAATTAGGTTTACTGCGAGACAAGGACATTCTCCATGTTGCGATTCCATATCCAAACACACTCATACAAAAATAACCCACTCCAAAAATTGGATTGGTTCGGTTGGTGATTCAAGCCACTCGAATAGAGTTCTTGATCTCTAACTCAACTGAACCCTCTATTTTTTTGTTGGTTGAGTTATTTTTTTAATTTTTTTAAAAAGTACTACTTTTCTGTCCTACTTATTACATTAATCATTAAAATCTCATATACTAAATATGAAGCATTTACATATTATAATACATCACTAACGAGATAACTAAAAAATCCTAATTAATACGGGCTTTGGTGGGTTTTGTTCACCCACCAATTAGGTAAAGAACTTCCCCGTTACATTAATTTTTAATTAAATCTGCTTTAATTTGAATCTCATAAGACATGCCCAACTGTGTCATTACTCATCTCTTCTTTTCTTTCTTCTTCTGTTTGTTGTTCATCTAAACATGATTTTTTTTTAACTAATTTAAATGTTTGAAAAGACATGAACTACGCCACTTTGTAATAAATAACCCAATTTAGGGAGGCGTTATATATTTCATTATGGTATAATTTCGAGAAACCAAGGCAAAAGCTAGTGGATATGTGACGTCTGAGTAAAGTAAATGTACATGAATAGACCAAAATCACATGGAGACCGGAGTGATATGAGGATGGTTTTACATCCAAATGAGAGTGATCATAAGAAAATTACTAGTTACCGAAAAAAAAATATGTTTTTCATTTTGGTAGCAAAATCATACAAATGTCAAAGTAAAGTATGTTTGGGATAAGAAAAACTCTTAGGAAATATATGATTGAAGATAAGACGTAAAAGACGGGGTTGATTTGTGAGGATATTTTTCACTCTTAAAAACATTTCAAGACAAGTAATATAACAAAGATGGAGCCATCAAGTTTAAATTCCAAGCTCTGATTTAAATCATTAGATCATAAAATATCATTAAATTATAATTTAATAATGCATACTTTTTATTATCGTATCTCAGTAAATTTAAAATATAGAAAAAAAAATTAAAATCGGTAAAATTTTAAACCATATTATTTCTCATAAACACACACTACCCTTTACTCGAGAATAAAATCTTTTAATTTACAAAAAAAAAAAAAAAATAGTTTCATCTAAGTTTTCCAAAAATACATTTATGGCACGTTTGAAGTAATATTAAAATTTTTAGAAAGGATTATGAAGCGTCATAAATTCAACAATAATATTTTATTTATAAAGATTATGGTGTTAAAATAATTTAAAATTTTGAATAAAAATTGATGAGTTTTTTTTTTTTTTTTTTTTTTTTAATAAATTATAACGTTAAAAAAAGAAAAAAATAATAATAACTATACCTTCCCATGATGAAATTGTGGAAAATTTATTTCAGGCGCCGCAAGTGGACCAACTAATCCCTTATCAGTCGTAGCAGTAGACATTAAGCATCCCAAAGCGTAGGACAAAAATTCCTCAATCTGTTCTTCCTTCTTTTTTCTTCCATCCCAAGTTACACCTCCGTTATTTGTTTTTTCCCCCATTGAATCTCCACTCATCTTCTATAAGAACCATTACAATCCGATTCCATGTTCAAATACTGCCCTAATTTCTTCCACAATCATGGCTCCCAAATCTCCCCTTCCCAATCTCTTCTTCTTCCTCCTACTCATATTTTCTGCATTCTCCGCCGCTATTGCTTCCGGAAAACTCCGCTCTCGCCGCCCTTGCCGCCGTCTGGTGTTCTATTTCCACGATATCCTCTACAACGGCGAAAACGCTGCGAACGCAACCGCCGCCATTGTCGGGGCTCCGGCTTGGGGAAATACGACGGTTCTTACAGGAATGAACCACTTCGGCGATGTGGTGGTGTTTGACGACCCGATTACTGTCGATAACGATCTGCACGGGACTCCAGTGGGACGGGCTCAGGGATTCTACATTTACGATAAGAAGGAAATCTTCACGGCGTGGCTTGGATTCTCGTTTGTGTTCAACTCGACGGAACACAGAGGGAGCTTGAACTTCGCTGGCGCTGATCCGTTGATGAATAAGACGAGAGATGTTTCGGTGATCGGTGGGACGGGGGATTTCTTCATGGCGAGAGGGATTGCGACTCTGTCCACGGATTCGTTTGAAGGGGAAGTTTATTTTAGGCTTCGGGCGGATATTAAACTGTATGAATGTTGGTGATTTTTGGGCTTTTGTTTTTTCCCTCTCCCGTTTTCGTTTGTTCGAATTCAAATCTGATGCATTTGATTTTATTCTCTGTCCAATGTAATGCAATAAATTGATTGGATAAGGTTTATTTGACCGTTAAAGAAAAAAAAAATTCAATCACCTTCAAAAAAAATTTAACAATTAGAAACAAGCAATAATTTTTACTCTTTGAATTAATTTAAATTAGATAGTTTAAATTTATTATACACAAAATCAAAATTAAAAGTTTAATATTCTATTAATTAGGCGTCATTAAATAAAAATTTTAATTTTATGTCGAGTAGATAAGAGAGGCTCCTCTATTTCTCTACAAAGAACAAATTTTATTCCAAAGCATAATGAAAAAAAAAAAAAAAAAAAGAACCAATTCATTTTGCTGTCTATAAGATTTGCAGTCTCCTTTGTGTGTGTTATTTAAGCCTCAAGTGAAGAGAGGCAGCCTTTGATCTCCGGAGGCATATGAAATAATACTCTTTTTAAGAGGAGAAATATAGTTAGCCCCATGAAAGGCAGCAGCTCGCAAGACGTTGAGAGGTCCAAAATCCACAGAATACGCCTTCTGGAACCCATCCAGAATGGCCATCATAGCAATATTAGCAGGTTTCCTCTCTGCTTCATATTTCTTCATCAATCCTACCTGCATAAAGTTCATTCATTCAAAATTCACTTCAATAACAAAAGCAGCGAAAACGACAGACCATCTGATAACGACTTTATTTTCGGTTCGTCGTCTACGACCAACTTTCTTCATTCTAGAAGCAGAATTTAAAAAACAAGACAGATATAAAGTAAAGTCGTTATCGTACGAGGACGACAATGTTGAATTTAAGAGCATGTATATGAAGTCCCCTAATGGATCAGATGTCAATTTGGAGGGTCGAGTGCCTTGCAACTCTCCACTAACAGAAAACTTCAGGAAATGGACATATGGACCATCCTTCAGTTTAAAGATAAAGGCACTTCTTACCAACATAATTGATCAATCAAATGAACTAACATGGATGACATGTGATTAAAAAGGCAAGATCAAAACTTAGATGCCTTTGAAGGCTTTGGTTACTTTTATTCCATGGAGTTCAATTCAAGTAACATAAACTAACTCGAATGCTCAGAGTTATATACATGCATGCGTAAGACTATCACTTTCATGCCTCAAAATATAAGTACGACTTACTGATGTTAAGCATGTACAAGAAAGCAAAGGAAATATCATGAAAATTTCAAGAATCTCGTATTCCAAGGATTAAAATTGTGTAAACATCAAAATCTATTGTTGGTCATTTCTAAAACCTCGGGTTCAAATTGAAAACAAACCTAAGGTTGTTCGTTGGGACGATGACTATATTTTAGCCTATAGTGCCCCACTCCCAAATATAAGGGTCTGATGACACCTAATAATTGTGGCTAGACAAGCTACAGTACAACCTCCCATGTGACGAAATGAAAATTTTGGTTGATAGGAGATATACACAGCCTTCCTATTGATAAATGTGAGAACCCACATCGGTTGGGGAGGAGAACGAAACATTATTTATAAGGGTGTGAAAACCTCTCCCTAGCAGATGCGTTTAAAAAAAAAAAAAAGAACCTTGAGGGGAAGAAAGGGAAAGCCCAAAGAGGACAATATATGCTAGAGGTGGGCTTGGATCGTTGCAAATGGTATCAAAGCCAAATATCAGACGATGTGTAGTGAGGAGGTTGAGCTCTAAAGAGGATGAACACAAGCAATGTGCCTGCAAGGATGCTGGGCCCCGAAGGGGATAGATTGGGTGGTCCCACATCGATTCAAAAAGGGAACAAGTGCTAGTGAGGACGCTGAGCCCCGAAGGGGGCTAGATTGTGAGATCCCATATCAATTAGGGAGGAGAACGAAACATTCTTTATAAGGGTGTGGAAACCTTTCCTTTGCAGACACATTTCAAAAAACCTTGAGGGGAAGCACGGAAGAGAGCTCAAAGAGGACAATATCTGCTAGTGATGGCCTTGGGCTTGGGCTGTTACAGCTATGCTCTTGAGTTCTCAAGTTCAGGGCACTACTGAAACTTCTAAAACCTCGGGGTCGAATTGAAAACGAACCTAAGGTTGTTCGTTGGGACGATGAGTATATTTTAGCCTATAGTCCCCCACTCCCAAATATAAGGGTCTGATGACACCTAATAATTGTGGCTAGATAAGCTACAGTACAACCTTCCATGTGACAGAATGAAAAACTTGGATTCAGACTAAATTTAAAAACATGAAACAATAGTTAGGACAACGGATGAAAGAGTATTAGAGAAAAATACCCCACCTCTCCAATGTCGGTTCCAAGTGCAACTCCTTCAGCAATTACTTTCGAAAGAGAAAAGGCATCTCCAAAACCTAAATTAACTCCTTGGCCAGCCAAAGGATGAACAGTGTGTGCTGCATCGCCAATCAAAACCACACGCTTGGAAGCATAGTTCTTGGCGTGATTCAAAGACAATGGGAAGACCATTCTTTCAGATGCCAACTTGACCACTTTTGGAGGAACCTCAAATCCTTCATCTACTGAAACAGTGACATCCGGCTTCAGCCATGAAAAAAAGCTTTGACTTCCAAATACGCTCGACTGTGGAGAAGGACCGTAACCGCAATCCAGAGCAGAATTTACATCCTTCACAAAATCATCCTGATCCATTAATTTACGGTCTGTAGCCTCTTTTGGGTTCATAGTCCAAACTATATTGCTATAGTTATCCCCAATTGGTAAAAGTGCAATCGGTCCAGAAGGCAAAAATCGTTGCCATGCACAAAAGTTTTCTTGAGTGTGCTCCACTGTACAGATAACTGCATTCTGTGAGTAATTCCATCCGGTTGTTTTAAACCCAGCTAACTCTCTAACACGTGACTTGGAACCATCTGCGCCAACCTGCAAGAAAACTCGGACGAAATGTCGACAAATAACTAGCAACTTTTCCAAAATTAGAAACTTTTTCCTTCCTACAAGAGATAATTACCACCAACTTTGCATATAAACTGCTGCCATCACTCAGTTCCAATTTTGCTAAATGTCCTGGTTCATTCATTGTTGTCTTGGACGATACGTTAGCTGCTACTGTTGGTGAACTGCTTGGGCTTAAGTTCATTGAGGTTAATCTGGAGGAATATATTGTTGTTTGAGCATCTGTACACTGTTGAAATTTAGGTACTCAGCATTCTGAGGAATCCAAAGGTAGCATCTGACTACTCTAACGACCCTCTCCACTTTATGCAATTACATTATAATGAAAAGTTTAAGCAAAGCAGAACACTGAACTCAGAGTTTGGAAAGTCCATTTATCAGTAAAGAAATTTAACAGTTGAGGATTACCTGTATGCGTGATAATAAGGAACTTTGAAGCACTTTGTTCTCCACCACGCAGCTGAATCCAAAGCCAAATGAGTACACCCAATAACTATTTAATTGAGTTGCTTTCATTTTGCATGCTGGAGCTTACCCTAAAAATTCTTTATTTACATCTCTTGCATGGTACTTTGTGTAACCTAAGCCTGTATAGTCCCAAACCTAACAAAGATTGAAAGATGATACGATAGTTCCTTCTTATCACGAAAAATTCCTCCCAAGCTTAATTATATGCATTATACTAGCAGCATATAACATATTTCTAACAAGTTAATGCTAAAAAATAAGTAGTTATTATATATGAACAACAAAATTTGAAAGCAACAGAACAAATCCAACAAGGTCATGAAATATTTTTCGTGTTTTCTTCTCTTAAAAATTATCTTTCCAAACAGGATTTTAGAATCAAGGACTACAAAAGGGCAATAGTATTAGACCAGAAATCCTACTGTGTGGGCCTCCCATTGTGAAGACATGTTCTAGGAGGGGAAAATCAGGAAATCTAACCATTTACCTTGGTAGAACATGCTTGAGAGGGGGGGTTGAACGCGAAAATACTAGGATACGGATATATATTTTTAAAATTTTATTTTTAGGATGTATATAAATTTGTTGGCCTTCTAATTTAGGCTGGGCTAAACATGAAATTAAAGGAAAAAATATGTTAGTGTGTCCCTTCAAGTATCTGAGCGTTGACATGCATATCCAAAAACAAAAAATTGGACACGCATGGACGTGTCCAAAGCATGTCAAAACGTACTCATGTCCACAAATTCTCTACTGAAATAGAGTATCCGTGCTTAGTAGAGTGCTATTTGCTACTGATTTTTGGTTGTGCTTGTGTTTGATTGAGTTTTTAGGCAGATTGCGAGTAGAAAACCTCACACCTACCTTCTTCTATAATGTATACAAGCGCCACACACACAACATTCAAATAGCTAAAACTAAAGCACAAGAAGGGATGAAGTATTATTGATTTTAATAATTACTTAATCCCTTTCAACTGTGACATGAAATTAGAAATTACAAGGGAGCTGGAGCTACTAATAGAAAAAATATTTAAACTGATCTATTACAACATGTTCCTTTAACTAGAATTTCCAAAGGATTGTTTACAAAGAACAGTCTATACCTGCATTTTGTCAAAGTATGCATGCCGTTGTTGTTCAACATATTTCCATGCATCAACGTCTGGCCAACGAGAATTCTGTTATTTGAATTCAATACTAATTTGGTATATGAAGAAGATGAAAGGTAAGCCAACATTATGTGTCAGCTTCAATGTTAAAGGATATTATAACTGATGCACAATGTTGCGTACAGCAAAAGGATGAAATAAAAATTATATTCTTTCAAATTTTCTGACAAAGTTAGCCTAGATAGCAGTGTTATTCAATAATTAAGAGTGATTTTAGTGAGAAAAAAAAAACATAAAATCTTAGAATATGTATAATAACTATATAAATTCACCACCTTTGAAGAAAGATATAGTTGCAGGAGTCACTGTGCTCACTCTCGGATCGGGAGGACCATCTTTTTTAATGCTGGCTCCACCCTTTAATGCTGGATTGCTGTCAATAATGGCAATAGATAACTGCTTGGTCAATGGCATGCTTGCTGCAATACAAACAACAGTAAGATTATTGATAAGAATTTCATTTTTTAAATTCATAAATTATA